GGCAGTTTTAATATTAGGGGAGGCTTGAATAATAGGGGGAAGGGATTAAAGCAAACTCCAGGTCCTGAGGCTGAAATGCATGCACCAAAGACACTCCTGAAGGCAAGTGTGAGTGCTTTTAGTCTGACCTGTGCTCAGGCGTGTTGCGGCTGCGCTTCCGGGAGTGTGGGCACCCAGCTCTGTTTGCAAACGTGCAAGGCCCTTTCGGGCAGTTCACCGCGGATCTCTGCGGTGGCGACATTGGATCCCTGCATTGCTACATCCTCCGATGTGAACTTTAGTGTAATTGCCGCAGCCATGCCCCCCCCCCCCCTTGTCTGCATTTTCCGACAATCAGCAGTTTTAAGGCATGGACCCGCGCCGCACTGGAAGGCCTGGCACCCCAATCCAGTTGCATCATGTCCGGGCTTCGATCAAGGGCATTGCGCAGAGAGCGTTAAGCAACATGTCACTGTGAAGAGGGAGGCGGGAGGCAGCGGTTCGTAGCGCTGGTAGAGCGCTCGCAAGTCTTGTTTCCTTTCAGCCCTGACGCCAGGCTGGATCAGAATTGGATTTTGCCTTGAAGAAGAAGGGTTCTGGCCTCAGTTGCCAAAGAACGTGCGAGCCTCGAAAGCTTCGTTGCGACAGCAGCTTGACAATAACCCAACGGAGGCCTGGGTGGCCTCGGCACGGAGGGCTACCTCGCGCGCATGGCGATGATGGTCGCAGTGCCTCGCCGGTCTTATCTAGGACAAGCTCTCGCGACAGCCCCTGCAACGCTTACGTTACTCTGTCTCGGCTACGCATGGAAGCCAAGGAAACCTTTCTTCTCTTGCACGCGACCCAGCCTTGTGAGGGAGTGTGTTTGCCGGACGTACTTTGGCCAAGTTGAGTCGGTTGAGATCGGCAGAGTGCATGATTCTTGCTGCGCTCACCAGATGGATAAGTGAATTGGCAGGAGCCTGTCCATATGTGGTACTAGCCGTAAATTTTTGAGTGATCAGTTTTCTAGTCTTGCACTTGCACCGTGTCGCCTGGTCTGGCTGCTCCCAGGAATGACTACAGGTTACCTCCCCTTCCAAAGGAGGGCTTTCAGCCGAAGCAGGCAGCAGAGAGCCTTTAAAAGGGAAGCGTATGCAGTATGCAGGTGTATGCTGCAGAAGCGGGCGGACGGTTTTCTTGAAGACTCTCGACTCGATGCTGCGTCCCGGAGCTATCTCGTATCGCCTGTTTTTCATGTGTCGACTTGTGCCCGCACTGGGGGGAAGCCTTTAGACGCTACGCCGTCTTGTCAAGTCTTGACAAGCTGTTTGTCTAGTCTCAGCGCATGCATGTGAGGACGAGCATGATTGCACGAGTATGTGCATGTGGTGTGCATGTGTGTGTGTGTGTGTCTGTCTGTACCTGGATGTAACATATGTGTAAGCAGTAGTCTGTGCGCATGTATGCGAGAGAAAGAGTGTGTTTGTTTCTGGCATCTGCTGACGAGTGCTGCTTGTTGCGTGGCGATGGACTCGTCGCTTTTGAAATGTCTTGTGCGTGTGTGTAGTTGCAGACATGTATGAATACGTGTGCGTGCATGGTTTTGAACAAGACATAACAGGACAGAAGCAGCAAGCACTCTCCTCACTTTTCACTCCGTTCTGTGCTTCTTGGAACCAGCGTCTAGCCAATTCTAATGTCAACGTGCAATTTCCACCGAGAATGGTGGGGTAAGCGTAGAATCAGCCTCAGCCGCCATCTTGGCAGGCTGTCAAGGAGAGCCGTCGAGAGCTGCTGAAGCGCAGCGTCCTCGGAGGGCCCGTGAGCACGTGGAGCGCAGTGAGGGCTCCCCGTCTGCTCCAGGCTTCAGCGAGCCGACGGCGAGTACCACGGCGCCGGGATCGGGCGCCCCAGCGCGCGGGCACCCAGTGCAGAGGGGCCCGGCCCGAACTCTCAGAGTGCTAGAAGCATCTAGAGATGCCGAAGAAGGGAGAGACATGATTGTGCCTTGGCCAGGTTGGAGCCAGCTTCACCTGCACGCAGCCCGACCCTCAGAGGGACCAGATGCCTTTTGCACCATGCCATGACAGAAAACGCCATGTTCCCGGAGGGAGACTCTGGAAAATGTCCTTAGAGGAAGATTCTGGAAAGCATCCAAAGCGAATCAAAACACCAAGGCTGCCCAGGCGCTGCCAAGACTGTGCAGACGGCTCAGGCTCGTGCAGCTCGAATTTATCCTCCGGCTTCTAAAGGAAGGTCAGGAAGGTCTTGTGGACAGCCTTATTCGGGCGCATTCGTCACATCATGCCTTCTTCGATTTGGCAGCTGGGCTGATGATCGTTGCCGTGCAATGCGAACTGTCGGTGCATCCTGCATGCCTGTCAAAAACATGGGGCAACACTGGGTGTTGCATGCAACATGGGATGAGGTTCAGCCACGCGAAAACAGCAAAGGCCATAACAAATTAGCTAGGCAACCTTGCAACTCTCACCCCGCGAGGACAATGACGGTGGCACCTCTCTGAAAAGGAAGAGGTCCCAGACCGTCGACACCGACGAAGACGAGGAAGAAGAGCTGCTGCCTTGGGGCTTGAGGCATTGCCCCGAAGCTAAGCCCGAAAGCCGTGAGCTATCGAGGGCGTGCTCTAACTTGAACTGACGAGCAGCTTTGTTTCATCGAAGATTCCGAATCCCCGTCTGCACTGAGGCCCCGGAAACTACGCCGGGCACCAAACCTCCGTGACGTGCGCGCCATCGAAACTGCGGTGGATGTGCTGGCACGGAGGCAGGGCAACAGAGCCCGGACTTTGGTGTCGGGGCAGAGTTGTCCCCTTCCCGGAACTGGCAGAGCCACGAATGCTCCTGTAGGCTGGTCAGCCAGCGCACCCGTCGCGAAATCGACGAAGGTGGGGAGATGGAGTTGTGGGTTGGCGACGGTTCCGTGATTGAGGTGTGATTTATCTGCATCGTCCCGCATGCGCAGTCCCGAAGTCCTGCGGTGCAAGATTTGTCGAAGCTAACACTCGCAGTTCCTTCTGATGCACACAATCCCACCATAAGCATGAACAGGATGCCGAAGTGAGTTAAGCCATTTGCAAAAAGCTGCCGCCGAGAAAACGGAAGTGCGATGCACATCCTGCAACAGTGCGCGTTCCACTGCCGCGCCCCTGGCGATTGTCTCAAGTCTTCGGACTTGACCGCATCCCAGAGAGAGGTGCCCTCATAAGCAGGACACTGTTCCGTTTTGCCTTTGCGGTTGGTTCCTCTGTTCAAGGTCGACACTTCCGCAACAGAATTTCAGCTCCTGGCACCGCAGAGGCTCGAGAGTGGAAATGCCTCTCAGATCCCAGCTCTGTCACGCAGCCGTGCCCTTCTCCCACCGTCTTCCCACCTTTTCTCTGCTCGGAGGGCTGCATCGAGCTCGATGCTGCTGTGGTGGTGGCAGCCTCGGTGGGCGATCGACTCGCTTTCAAACCTGGTGTACCTTGGAAAGGCTTCAGATCTTTCGCATTTCACTACTGTCGCAGTTTGGATCTTGACTGCTTACGAGCTGTGCTGCATGATGTCGAGGCTCGAGCTCTCGAAGAATACGAGAACTTGGAGGACCTCTGATATCCTCTGCTGCAGCGCGGGCACAATGCCTGGTGCGCGGCCCATGGATCGGGTGAGGCCCTATCAGGCTCACCCAAGCACACTCACCTTGCGAGCTGATGTCTGAGTACAGCCTGCCAGCGCCATATGCTTTCTCTGTCTAGATCGTTTCACCAGCGAGGCAGTTACTCAGCTACTCATATGAACTTACGCAGCTGTTGAGAACAAGCCCGACACGGCAGTCAACAAAAATGTCTGCTTGGATCTGCTACAGAACATGTGCAATCTGGGGGCAAGGGTCCGCAGAGGAGGTCAAAGGCAATGCTGGGCAGCTCCTGCTTTTCGTACACGCTTTCCTCCGCGAGCAATTCTCTGAAGTTTGTCGGGCATTGCGCTGCCAACAGAAGGCTCAGAGTTAGCCTCCATTACCTGACAGAAGGTGCTGCACTCGAGCGAGGTGCCAGGGCCTGGGTTTGCGGGTGACTGAAATGATTCTCGAGGTCGAAAGGAAGCAGCCATTGCTTTAAAGGTGAGAGGAGACAAAGCTGCACTGCTTGCTCATTGCCATTCCCTCAGTGTGTAAGACTTTGCGGCCCTTGCGGCAGGCAGAGGGAGGCTGTACGCCTCGCTGCCCCTGCTCCAGAAGCGGCTCCCTTCACGGGTTTGAAAAAGAAAGGCTTTCCAGCCAGGCCTGGGTAACAGGACAAGTCAAGAGTCAAGACATGTGAAGCTGTTGCAGATTTTCGGCGGCTTGTCTTTGTGCCTGCGTGCAGGGATCTAGAAGAAACGCCCTCGCCCTCGGCGTGCGCGACCTCGCTTGCCACCTGCCCTTCATGGAAATGTGTGACGTTCCGCGCTTTGTGAAGCAGTCTCGGCTTAGTTCCCCGAAGCCGAAGCGACAAGCGGAAGGGTGCGACATGATTGTTTGCAGTCGGAATCCGCAGTCAGCCTGAACGACTCTACCTCAGCAGTATTCCAACAACATCTCCGCGCCCAGACCGCATCGAAAGCACTCTATGCGCAGCAGGGATTGAGTGCCGCTGGGCCGCAAAACACTTCAATGTCAAAGCAAGAATCTCAGTTCCTTTGGGGGATGCCTGCGACCTGAACTCGGAACCCGGAAAGCCTCATCGTAAACCGAGAGTCCAAGAAGCTTTCGTCGCATCCAGTGAGACGGTGGAAGCATGGCCTTCACGGTACAGGCTCAAAGCCAGAACCCGGAAACCAATTCCACGACCTCGTGCTGAGGATCTGGGGAGCCGCTAAATTTGATGGCTATCTGTTTCCTGCTTAGGTGCATGGTAGCTAGAAGCTCTTGAGAGAATCACATGTGCCTGGATCCTATGACTTTTACTTGTCAGGACTCGTACCAACGTTTACGCCTGGGAGGGTTTTCCAGATGCAAACGGGTGGACCTAACTGTCCTAACTCTGACGCCGTTCATAAGCCCGTCGGAAACCATGGATGCCCAGCCAGGCCTCGAGATTCATACACGATGACTCCTGCTTCACCACGACAGTCGTCTTTGGACGCCTGCTTTCAGGACGGTTGTTAGGGAAGGGGGGGTGCAGGGGCGGTCAATGCACACGGATGCACACGGGAGTCTCGGAAAGGGCATCTGATCGTGGCCTGGTCTCATGTTGATGTAGGAACGCATATCTTGAGAATCTTCTCAGACATGTGACAGTGCGATTAGAGCTCACAGGGCTGGCGAAACATGGACATCACCGACATGACCTGTTGCCCTGAAAGCCCACCGAAATTCTCGAATATCTCCAGGGTGCCGCCGATCTCGGCTTGCCGCTTTACGTCTCCGTGGCGCTGGCCATGGCTTGCACCTCAGAGAAGTCGGCTTCTTCAGTTCGGGGTGTTTTTTGCTCTCGCTGCGCGGATGAGTTGCAGCAGCCGCCACGTACTGCAGTAGCTGGAAAAGCTTTCTGGTAGATTCCAACAGCCGCCCTCTCCAAGACACGGGCTTCCTTTCCCCCTTTCATTCCTTCGATGCGAATGCGACACTCGAGCTGAATTACGACAAGAGCAGGAACAACATGAACGATCAGGATGATATTGGTGCCTCCTCCTCATCAACAACAGGTATTGCTCCTACTTGTACCACCACTGCTAGGACTACCACCAGTGCCAACCCCACATCAGTACTACAGCGACTGCGACGACTGCTACTCCTACGCCCACTCTCACTACCCTCACACTGCCACTCCGACTCCTACTGCGATTCCTACTACGACTTCTAGTACTGCTACTAGACCGCTTCCACTGTTCCCACGCCCACTCCTAATTATACGACTCCTATTGCTACTGCTACAAGTGTTGCTTTTACAGCTGTTTCCTGTTGTTCTCAAGGTTTTTGCCTCCGGGCTCTTGCGCATGGCCGGGTCCTGGAGTGAACACGCGGTCGTGGCAGCAGTAGCAGCACAGGAGTGGTTCATACTGTGTGAGTGTCGGCATCTTGCAGCACACTTGGTGCCCAGCATGTGCATGCATGCGTCTTAATGCACGCTTGTGCTTGAACTGTGGCATGCGTTCACAAATTGCACAGTCTGCTGGTGTTGGTGTGTGCACCCGTGGCATGCTGACACCGGGCACCGTCTCCGTGCGAGATGTTTTGAGACTGTTCGGTCGCGTTTGCGACTCTGCTCCGATTTGTAGTAGTGTTGAAAACTGTTGACATGTTCCGATGGTAGACCGTACTGTCATCTTCTTGTCGTTGCCGCGCCAGGTCAGCTCTATCTCTCCAGCGAGTGCGAAAGAGACGTGTTTTGCAGCCGAGGGTGCTTATGACTGGTGTAACATGCGCCAGGACCGCCAGTTGCTAAGTCTGGACTTCCACCCGGAGCAGCGGAATAGCAACAAGATTCACAAGATATAGTAATTTTGGTATTTGGCCCACGAATTTGAGTCCTGAAACTGCACTTGAGTGGTGGAATCGTCACAGGCTCGTTCCCAAGATCCTTCACAGAGTACCGCAAGGCTCATTATGGAATGAGGCACCACGTCGCTCACACGTTGTATCGACAGCAATGAAGATGCTGAAAAAGATGCTGATGATGACGATGATGGTTCCGGATTAGTAATGACGATCAGCAAGAGGAGCAGGACTGGTAGTAGTAGTAGTAGTAGTAGTAGTAGTAGCAGTAGTAATTTAATGGTAGCAGTAGCAGTAGCAGTAGCAGTAGCAGTAGGAGTAGGAGTAGGAGTAGGAGTAGGAGTAGGAGTAGGGGTAGGGGTAGGGGTAGGAGTAGATGTAGTAGTAGTAATAATAATCATAAAAATAGCAGT